CCAAGGAACGAGCAAACTGTTAACTTGGCAAAAGAGCCTAGGAAGGATTTCCCGCTTGAAATGAACTTTGTTTTTACACCTTTGTCATACATTGGTCAAAAACTGCAGTATCAAACTTTAACAATATATCGAAGCAGACTAAGAACAGGAGCAACACCAAGAATTTTTCCCAGCACTAAAAAAAGATTTCCTTGTGGCTGTCATTGATCTTTAACCATCATTCGAGGTTTCAACATTCTTAAAGTGTTCGTGATTTATCATGACAAATCCAGTTAGGTGATTTAAGTCGATTATAGATTCGAAAAAAATTCCACAATCTAACGGTTAAATACAAGTTTTATTTCTACTTTCTTGATTATTTCACTTCATTTTAGTTTAAAAATGAAAGAATTTATAAAATGAATATGAACGAAATAAGGTAATTTTTTTTTACAAGATCATATCCACCCAGGGATTCAAAAATAATAAAAATCCATATATGTTTAGCAGTCATAATTGACTGTATTAATTATTTCAATTAATTATATTGTTTATCTAAGGCCTTGTTGAGAAGAAAAGTATATTTAATTTTAATAATAAGAATATTAATTATTTTATGCCTTTTTCAAATCTCTTAAATATTAAAAGTTTTTTTATTTCATTTTATTTATTTATTTTTATTTGCTTTCATAAAAAGTTAAAATGCAAAATCCACATGATTTTAAGTTTTAATTTTAAATTTTACACACTAACGTATCATACTGGGTCCGTCTATTTTCGTAGTTCTGACAGCAGAACAGACACAGAATTATAAGCAGATTCAAAAGTTATGTTAATCAGCTAGGTAACAACTTATATATTAGCAATCACCTGAAAATTGTGCAATTTGTGAACAAAATGCTTAATTTTTTATTTTCCTTTGATAGCGCTGTTGAAAGTTAGACATTTTACCTTTTGTTTCATTATAGATAAGATAATGACAACTGAAAATTTTTTTCTTTTCATAATATAAAATTCTTATTTTCTCCTTATGTCCTTTTATTATTGACTTTAACAATCTTGAAAAAAAAAAAGTTTATGATTTGTCGCAATATATGACATATCTATATATGTATATTGTAAAGATTCTTAGAGGAAACGGGATTAATCTATTTATTTATTTTTATTTATTTATTATAACTCCAACAGAAAGAATCTACAAGAGGAGTAGTCAAAAAAAGGCACATAATAACAAAAAGAAAATTAAGCAATAACAAAAACACAAGGCTTAATGATTCAAGGCAAGTAAACATTTTAATTTAACTTTAACTGAATTCAAGGAATCGCGAAATACATCTATTTCATTAGGATAATAATTCAGCAATCTCATTATCCTCGGTAGGGATGAATTTAGTCCATATTCTGTTTTGTAGTGTGGAACAAAGAAAAAAGTATGGTTCCTAAGTGGTCGCTCAGGCACACATAGCGATAAATGTAAGCTCAGGATATCAATGGCCCCATTCCACAATTTCCAATCCCAAATGAGATCAGCAAAAATACGGCGGGAGCTAAGCGACTCAAGACCAAGCCAGTTCAGTCTTTCCATGTAATTCAGGTGTGCAAGACCAAATCTGAAGGCCATTATCCTGGTTGCTTTCTTTTGTATTTTTTCCAAGTCGCTAATCTCACCAACGTAGTAAGGGGACCAGACGACACTTGCATATTCCAGATGGCTACGAACGAGGGATTGATATAATATTTTAACTGCCAAGATGTTTTTAAAATCTCTAGAAAACCTAGTAATAAAGCCAAGATTGCGTAGAGCCTTACCTCGAATCTGTTTGATATGGTCACTGAAATCACCCTTTCTGCTGAAAACGACACCAAGGTCGGAGATAGTGTCAACCTCTTCCAATCTCTGCCCATCAACGAAATAGTCAAAACAATCAAAGTCACGAGGTCGGATATTTTTAGAAAATTTAATTACCTTGCATTTGTTAATATTCAAAGGAAGACGATTCTGCTCACACCAATTATTGAAGCAGTCCAGTTCCCTCTGTAAACCAACACAGTCGTGAGTAGAAGACACTGAATTAAAAATTTTTAAATCATCCGCCAATAAAGAAAACTTACAATCCTTGAATATACTACAGACATCATTGAAATAAACAAGAAATAATATGGGCCCGGAGTGAGAACCCTGAGGTACGCCAGAAAATGTAGAAATCCTATCCGATACAGAGTTATTAATGAGAACAGAAAAAGAGAGACCAGATAGAAATGATTCAATGAAGGATAACAAAGGATCACCAACTCCAAGGATTTTCAACTTAAACAGAAGAATATCAATGTCAACTCTATCAAAGGCCTTAGATAAATCTTTATACAGCGTGAACACTATTTCAATTCTCAAGGGAATTAACAATAAAATCATAATAATGAAATAAATTTGTACTGGTGGATCTACCCCTTAAGAAACCATGCTAAGGGCCTCAGCAAGAATGGAATCAAACATCTTGGCAAAAACAGAAGATTTACAAGCGGGTCTGTAATTAACAATCAAGTGGAAATTACCTTTCTTATAAATAGGAACCACATAAGAATATTTCCATTTAACGGGAAAGATGCCTTCCCTAATACATCTTTGAAAAATAATTGTAAGTGGCAGAGCAATCGATGAAGAGCAAGTTTTAACAAACATCTCTGGTATGCCATCAGGTCCCATCGCAAAGGAATTTTTCAAAATAGCACATCTTTTTAAGATATCCCTGTTAGTAATGTGAATAAAAGATAGATCAGTCACGTCTCTAGGGATATTCTCAGAGGGACCCTGATTTATTAATCCGCGGCCACCATGAAAATTACTTTTAAAAACCGATGCAAAGTGATTATTGTTTATATTAGTTGTGTGTACCTATGCAGTTTAGGTTGAGATTGAATGTATTTATTAGTGTGAATGTGTGATGTGAAAGGGTTAATGGAATATCGAGTCCTCCATCAACCCTCAATTAGGTTAGTTGTAAAATATGTGTAAAAGTTGTTGAAAGTGAATGTACTTATTAGTGTAAATGTGTGATGAGAGGGTTAATGGCGGACTATCGAGTACCCCATCGACCCTCAATTAAGTTAGTTTTAAAAATTGTGTGACCGTATTTATTAGTGTGAATGTGTGATATACGCACATGTGCAAATTTGAGCCTAAATCCAAACTCCAAATATTGAAAAGTTTTAACTGGATGAAATGTCAAGGGACATCAATAGTCTCTCAACAGTCTCTCTTGTTTTCAATTCGTCGATGATTTGTAAAATGATTTTATCACTCCGTGGTCCATCTGAAGAAAAGTTAATTTAATCACTTGAAGATCATTGACTAGGGTGTGAAGGGCACTTGTCCACAAGAAGGACTTTCTTTTTTACGAAGAAGTTTTTGGTCCTATTTCTGCAACCTATTTCACAAATGTTGTTTTTCAAAAATACAAACTAGATATAACTAGTTTCCCCCCCCCAAAAAATTACAATTGTTTATATTGTAATTGTAATATCACTCTAACTCCGAGAAATGGTTAAATACAAATTCTAACGATGAACATGAGAAAAAGGTAGAAAAAGTAGGCAACTAAATAATACAGCATATACTTTATTTTAGTCTTTTAAACATCGACCAGAATCAACCAATCGCGTTAAAAAATATCACATGGTTCATGGCTACCTACAATGCCGACATTTTTTAAATTCCTTTTAAACAAAACAAAAATGTACCATGTGAAATATATATGTGCATACATCCAAATGCAATATATATTATATAAATACATACATTACATTTAAGGATTTATATGATAATAAATTGTTTTATTTTCCATATACATTTTATATAATTATACTTTTTATATATATTAACAAAGTATCATTAAGAGAATATTATTAAATTTTCCCTATCTATCACAGATACAATTTCAACACAATTATATTAATGTGTTGGCAAAGGTAACATTTCTTTTACATATTTATATCATAGGCATAATTAGGGTTTGAAATTAACATGTCAAATATAAAACTTTAATGTTTAATAAAGTGAAATAAAGTTTTTCACGTATTTTAATTAGGCCTATAATATTTTTTACAAGGATTTTAATTTTGGTCTTCAATTAAAAATTTATGTTGATTCGTATCTTCAATTTGGCTTCATCGATTTAAAATACAGCAGCAATATTTTAAAATGCCTTTATCCTCCTTTCTTTTTTTTTTAAATTTAGAACTTTATACAAGTAAGCACTCTAGTGCTTTGATAATGTAATAAAACTACACTAAATGCTATAAACCGTTTCATATACGAATATATTCTCACAAAATCACAAATAAATGTCTCATTCAATATTTACAAATAATTTTGATATACAAAAAAATAATTTTGTGAAATAACTTAAACCATTTTAATATGGATATAAAAATTAAGGCTATTAATCTATTAAATAACTAATTTTTACAGAGAGAAAACCAAAAAGCAATTACTTCTGAATATTCTATTCGGCACTAGTGACCCTAGTGTGAAAAACTGTTTAGAATTTTATTTTATATTCAATTTGGTGAACCCTCAATTTTGGATACTACATATTTTGTTTCCTTAACAAAAAAAAACTATTTGCTTATTACATAATTAATGTTTCCAATAAATAAAATTTGAATTGAAATGTGAAAAAAAATTGTTAAGCCTTTTCAACTTGAATGTTTACCATTTAAAAAACTGACTAGACAATTCAAGTCAAAACACTGGCAACAATTTTTTTTTTTTTTTTTAATTATGAAAACTTTTTTTCATTACGTTTATTAAACACAACTGATCATTTATTAAAATTATTAAAGCAGAAGTTAAATTTCATTTTACAAAAAAAAAAGATTTGCCTATTTCCTTTGTTTTTATTTATTTGTTTTACTTTATTTATTGATATTTTTTTACAGGAAAGTCCATTGAAATTTTAGTTCTCTCAATTGAGGGCTCGTACAAAAGTTATTGTGGTTTACAGTTTATAAAACTATAATAATTTTGTAAGAAGAAAGTTCTGTTTTTTTGTTTTTTATTTTTGTTAGTTTTTTTTAGGAACCACAATTATGTGCTCAAAAACTGCTACCACGGGCAGTATAAATAATGGAGACAATAAAAATTTCAACGAAGGTAAAAACCCTTACAATACCAACATTTAACTATTCTAATACATAGATACAATTATTGTACTCGTCTTTTAAATATATCATAATCAGTAACTTTTGATGCTACATTTAAATTGTGAATTCATTGAAAGCTTTCATTTTCATAATGTGGACTTAATTCTTATCTGAGGACGTAAACAATTTCTTCATTATGGCAGGTCTGTTTTATTCCTAATTGTCAAAAATAATCAATATAAAAATATACATTTAAAATAATATAGCTACCTTTATAAAGCAGAACTTATTTTCAAAATAAGTCGCACCGGACAAATTATTCTGCAGTTGTGATAATTCAAGACTTAACAAACTTCCACTGTAAGTTCCAAATGTTTGGCGAATGAAAAATAAAATAACTTGAAGCATTAATGGCTTATTTGAATGCCAAAGGACATGAATCTTTCTTGTACGGAGGCCACAATTTATCAAAAACTAAACAAACTCAGTTCAACGGACAAGTTAATCGTTTGTTTTTTAATTACATCAATAGCTGTTAATAAAAATGGAACATTTGCACTCTAAAAACACTATTGATCATAAATAAAATTTATCTTAACGTAAATCATTTATACTTGACAAAGGTTATTCGTATTCTAACTATAAATTTCAATAAAAAAATGCAACATTTACAGAGATTTTCTTAGAATTATTCAAACTAATCAAAACCACTTTCCATTATAAACTTAAATCCAACACAGAATTTGGTCCCTAAAAGATTCATGTCCCGATCCACTCATCCACATTAATGAATAAAATACTTTTGTTATTGGCACCTATATCACAATACAGACAAATATTTTCCTTTCAATCATAATATTAATTATTATAAGTTGATTAACTATAGAAAACTCTGTAAAATCACCACAAGATGGTACACCGAGAATAAACACGTGTATCTTAAACCTATAAATATATCTTACAAAGCGTCATTGGAAATAAACTGCAGAAGAAAATAACAATACCTATCTTACCCATTATGGGCGGTACATTAAATTGTTGAGCTTATAAAATACACATTTAAAACAATTTAATTTCATATATAAACACTTTACCAAGTTTAGAGTGGAAAAGTGAGCCTCTATTCAATTTTCTTGTCGTGGTATTTCCCTTTTAAAAGTTTTTTTTTTTTTTTAATATTTTTTAGATAAATTTAGGCTTTTGTGTTTGCATTTATGTCCATTATGAAAATTTTAAATCATATCGACATTATTAACTGTCTATTTCCTGAGCTTAAATCGTATATTCACTCTGAGATACCACAATGAATCATTAGGTTAGAAAATCAAAGTCAGTACATGTTTCATTTGAGTATTAATTAAATAAACTAAGTCACATTTCCTTTTACTTAAAAATAAAAATCCAAACAAAAATTGATACAAACTTCTGATAGAACATGTGACTGAAACTGAGATCAAGTTAATGTCAAATGACATTTGGTTTATCTTATCACTGAACCTAAGTGTTGGCACTAGTAATTTTCTATTCTAGTATTTAGAGCACATCGAACATGGTCGGATGTGTTCAAGCTGGATTATTTGTATTGCAGTTGAACATGTCTGATCGTTGAGGAAAAGTGAAGAGCGGTTTAGGCGGTAGCCGAGGGGTCAATGTTGACGGTGTCGAGTGTACGACGAGCGATTGCCTATTAGGACGCTCGCGTTCTCGTTCACTATGGCTAAAATGTCTAGGAAGAGTCCCACCTATCATTGGTCCAAATGGTTGATGGGAATGTACACTTGAAATGGAACTCGCTCTCACTAGTATCACAAAAATTTTTAGTCAAATGCATCGAAGAGGTTTGTTGAAAAATCAACCTGTTACTTACCGTGCAGAGTTGACGAAGATTCAGACATATGTCTTCTATTTCGAGGCGGTAGGGGAGGCGGGGACGGCTCCCGGGGCTTTGGCAAAAGAGGAGGATCGACCATAACCTGGGTCGTTCGTCTTACTCTCGGTGGAAGCGGTGGAGCAGGGCCGGGTATTTGAGGAGGAGGCCCCATAATTGCTGTACTCGCATTGGAAATGGCTCCAGGAGATTGGTTACCAAATGAAACTCCTTAATATTACAAACAAAAGTTGAAAATTTTACAAATTCAATATTAACCAAAAAAAATTACCTTGGCCGATCTGGATTTGAGCAAACACAGAATAGTCAGAAGAATGATGCGATGCATCATGTGAAGGTGGTGTGTGCGGTACTGTCAGAGGGGTTCTTGGAGTTGGACTGTCATCATGCGAATCGTCATGTTTATGGACTACGACTAACGGTTGTGGTGGGCCATGTCTAGACAGACTTCTTGCTTTGATCCCTGGTGATTTTAAGTTCAAATCCGGCCATTTACGGTGCTACAAATAAACACCCTCTTTATAATATTTCTCAAAATTTCAAATAAAGCAGATTTTTTGTATGTTGTTCACAGTGTAGGTCATGACAGGCTCCAACTGATCATTTCATCAATTTCATTCTGCTTATGTCATGATTGTCAAATTTTCGAAATGGTCTGCATTCTTTCAACTTTTTGTCAATCCCATCAGAACCTGGCATATGTCAATAGTTTCAGTATATATCTTTCAGTATCGAACAAAATCCTGCACCCTAAGAAAACTTAATTTTTACCCTTGAGATTTAGCCTAGAATAAACTGGTTTTTCCCTCGCAAAGTTTAATAATTTTTAAGATATTTTAGTTGATATCATAATGCCCAAAAACATTGAAATTGTAAAAAAATAATCCCCTCCCCCACTGGTAACATTTTGGAAAATTGTGCCATGCACTGAATGTGTAAATTAAACCACTAGTGATTCGTGATTAGCAGTATCGAAACCAAAACAGTTCATTTTTTTTTTTTTTTTTTGGTAAGCAAGGAAATGAAACGGTAATCTGGTTATTTTAAATAATTCTGGTCTATGTGTTCATTTTGTCAATTGTGTGAGGTATTAAATTAAATTAGTTCAATCATTTTTATTTTAAAATTACTAAATTTAAGGTAGCTTGAGGTGAGAGGTGATAAATCTGTAGATTGGCAATTTCTGATCATCTTGGTTTATAATACTCGCTGTTTTGTTCGTCAGACATAGTCGGCATGTTGCCACTTTCAGTGGTTAGTCACACTTATTACATGACATAATTGATTTTAAAAGAAAGAAAAACAAGAACAAATCAATTGCAGTATTATACAGGGTGATTCACTACTTGTACAACAAAGTTCTTCAGAGGTGCTTCTAAACCCCCTTTTGAAGATATTCAAACTTTTTTTACAACCATCAATGGTTTTCATCACAAATCTACTCGTAGCTCTTGAACGATTCATTTTTGGGGAAAGCCAAAAAAAAGCATTGAAAAAGAAAAATCCAATGTAATTTAATTGTTCACTATGTTTCTTGTCTTTTTTTATGCGGAATTTTTCTTTGTTTTTGCGCTTGTTTATTAGGTTAAAGTTAGTTTAGTGTAGATATTTTGTCCAAATTCTCAGCTTTGGTAGTTTGGTTGTTACGTTCGTAAAACGTAACATAGTATGAGTGTATTGTTGTTGTTTGGCCAGGGGTGCCTCCTGAATTGTAATGCCACCTAAACTAAAATTGGCAGTGGGTTAATCAAAATTAAGACGGCCTAGGATAGGCTTATGAGAGAAGAGAAGTGGGATAAAAAGGTAGGACAGTGTGCGTCGAGACGGATATCCCTACGGCTTGGCCAGAGCAAAGAAAATCATCAATTCCTTGATCAACAAAGGCGATCGCGGACCCACTCAACTTCAGGTGCTCCACATTCCTAGAAGCGGGGATTTTCAATTCAATGGAAAAGAAGCATATCTGGACACTGGTTCCCAGGAAAGTTTAGTTTTTAAGGAATGTTTATTTAGATTTTATGATAATTTAGGTTCCTTTAGTGTGTAAGTTTGTTAAAATGTTACCCGTAGAGAATTAAGATTAGTCTATGTTTAATATTTTAGTTTCCGTTGGAATAAATGTGTTTTTTTTTTTTTTTTTCCTTATGTAAATATTGTGTTGTTTTTTTTTAAATTAATTTTACAGTTATTGAATTTTCTTTGTTTTATTTTATTTTATTTTTCTTTCTTTACGGTTCGCTGTTTCCGTGTATATAAACAGCATGGCGCCCATTTGTTTAAAAATTTAATATTAAGTTCATCATTGTTAATTCATTATGTAACCCCGCCCGTCTCCACGGAGCGAAGCCGGCAAATTCTCGGCGTAAGATGGTATGTTTATTGTCTCTCTTTTATGTGTTTTGTTTCATTTTCTTTCTCTTTGTGTTTTTATTGAGTTAAAGTTTGAAAATAAATTTTACACAGGACAAACAAAAAGTTGAATTACAAGATTGACCTCACCCTTTTTCACACCAACACAACTTTTTTCCCGTTTAATATAAAATTCTGCATTTCGATTCAAAGTAATAAAGAAAAAGTAAAAAAGAAAATACCTTGAAAACAATTTCTCCAATGAGATTACAATTTTTTTCTTTTTACAAAGTTTAAATTTAGCAGTTTTTGAAAGACAGTTTTTTTTTAATCAATAATTAAATTGAGTATTCTAGAAGAGTGCCTTCTTAAAGGAAATTTTAAAAAATAAAAGCTCTTTTCAATGCTTTTTTAGGATTTCCCCAAAAATGAATAGAGAGCTATGAGTAGATTTATAACAAAAGCCATAATTTAAAAAAAAAAATGTTGAATATCTGCAAAAAGGATGAGAATCGTACCATGGTCCATATGAACTTTTTTGTTGCATTTAAGGTGTAGAAGCAAAACTGCTTTACACTTCCTGACCATTTATATATTGTTTTTATTGATTGTAATAAAATTTGGTATGTATCCCTGAAGAAAAGAGGCAGATAGGAAAAAACCTTTGAATCAGTTCATTATTTCTTTGTCCGAATCAATCGACTGAAGGAAAAGAATCAACTAACAAAAAAGGGAAGAGTAGCAACTTTGTGACCAAAAACAAAACATTTCCTCATGAAGTGGAGATTACGTTGGGGCTGAAATGATAAGTGATGATAATGAAAAGTCGATAGCCCCCAGGGCCCAACCTTGGTGGCTGGACAGATAAAACCGAGGTCTTATCCCAGACTGCTAACACCCGGGGTGGGTGAGTCTCAAGGCCTGTCAATAGTCTGTTGTAAATTACAAAAGCTAGAATTGCCGGTGAGCTGCAAGAAATGACAGGTCCAAATCTGTACATGCGTGTATATACAATGTTCCTTTTAGATGGCCCAGTTGGATTTCTCTTGAACCAATGATGGTATAAAAAAATACATGTTTAATATTTTTTAGTCTACTTTCAAATTTTTTTTTTTTTGGAGAAAAATTATACAAGGTACCTCAGGCCTGATCTTACATCATCTACATCTACCTCAGGCCTAGTTCAACTTCAAAATTTCAAATACAACCCTATACATCCTGACAATAATTTTAAGGGATTTTTAACACTGAACGCAATGGTGCAATCGGATTTTAAATTGGTCAAAAAATGACAAAGTTAGGGAAAAAAAGAAACCGGCAGCATAATTTCAATGTGGAACTGAATAGTTTACTTCGCGAAAATCCGAATTCCTCTCCGAAATGTTGGAAGGGAAACTGTCATTTTTTGATGTTTGTTGTCATTTTCTAATTGCACCACTGTTTCAACATAAAAAATCCTTTAAAACGATGTCTCTGGATGTATATGGTTGTATTTGAAATATTGAGTTGAACCGGGCCAGAGGTACCTTGTATAATTTTTTTTCCAAAAAAAAGGTAAAAATTTGAAAGTAGACTAAAATATATTAACATTTTTTTTTTTTTAACCATCCCTAACCATTGGTTCAAGAGCAATTCAGATGGGCCATCAAAAAGAACACCTGGTATGTACGTGCATGTGCAGATTTGAGCTTAATTAGCTTAACTTAATCTGTAAATTTTCTCATGATAAATTCCCAAATTAAAATCACATAATTTTTAATCTTATATTTTTGCTATAAATTTATACTAATTAAATTTACTTACAAAACGTTGGGCTTGACGACAGCTTCTTGGTTCTATGACCAGAGATTTATTATAAAGATAATTACTTATTTCAGCATCTTCCATTCCTTCGAAAGGACATAGGTTTTCTAAAAAATTCTATAAAAAACAGCAAATTAAGAAAAAGCTAAACTGTAAAATCGTAAGCTGAGTTTAAAATTGTATCTACCCTTATTCTTGGTTCAACACTTAGGCAATATGGTTGGTTTTGATATTGTTGAATTTCTCCTGTTATTTCTGCAACTTTCCTTCTTTTACTGAAGTTTATCAGTTGGGGTTGTGATGGAAGTGTGTCCGGATTTCCTTCTTCAATATGCAATATATTGGTCAAATACATTCCTAAATACAATTTTTCCGTTAAATTCAACAATGAAACAAGAACGATAGATAAGAATGAAAAATACCAAAAAATGGGACACATGGGGGATTGATAGACCTCAACTTTTCTTGATATTTTCTGAAGTGATCATTGCTCAAATCTCTAGCTTCATCAAGAGCCTTTTCTAAGCGTGCAGAAATTTGCTGAAAAGAATATTTTATTATTTATTGCAGACTTTTTTTTTTAAAGAATAATAAATGTACCTGGAAAGTACATTTAAGCCTGTACACGGATGCTGAGCCCATAGCGGAAACTATGGCAAGAACACCATTGAAGTTATTCAATTCTTGAAGAACAATCATAACTTCTATCATTCTTGACACTATAGCTACCCGCTCATCGACATTTTCAGCTTCGACAATATTTTTTTCAACCCATCTAGTAAACTAAAAATATATCAATTAATTAATAATTGAAAAACAAATTCTGTAATTAAAGTTAGGGATAGATACATTAGTTGTGTGCTTGATCATTCTCAACAGGTTCGGGGAGGTTTGCTCTTTGTCCTTTTTCGTCCAAACACTACCAACTAGTTCAGAGGGTTTTACAGCTCGGTATAAATCAAATTCGAGAAGAGTCAGTTGTCTCGCTACTTCTATCGGGTGCAACTATTAAAAACAAAAAATTATTAATTAAAAAAAATATATACATATCCAAAATAAAGTGAATTCATCTAAACAATAAATACCGTTAAAATGTTCCACTCTTCTTCGCTGCATTTTATATGCCATTCTATAGGTGGAGGAGAGTGATTAAATGCAAAAGTCCGTTCCCTTTGTTGATCCGTAGTTTCGCACTGTGTATAAAATTATCAAAAAGTAATTAACATACTGTTAAAGCGTACAAAAATTTAGATAATACCTTGCGTTGTATTATTTTCGAAACAGAATCGACCCATTTTCTCATAGATTTAACATTGACCGAGTCTAAAAATGCTTTCAAATCTTCCAGTAATTTTTTATCGCGCTCAAAATCATAAAAATGGTGATCAACCCAATGTCTAAGAACATTCAAAACCCTAAAAATGTTAAGATTAGTTTTATTTTTCCTTCTTGCTTAATCTACCCGGTAAAAAAATTGATAAAAATACAAACCTGAATTGAACCGGTTGGCAATACTTTTCCCTGTATCGCTTCATATCCTCTCTAAAAAAATTCTTGTCCTCTTCAGGTGCTGGTATGTGAAACCGTTCAATTAGTAGAGACAGCAGTTCCTAAATATTTATATACATTATGTATAACGATCAAAAACTTACATATGTATGTAAATTTATGAAATCGGTACCTGAGGTGAACAGAAACTTCTATACGTAGTCAAAAACGTTCTAACAAACATTGGATCTGTGTAGATGTGGTAAGTCAGCCTTTCGACAAGTTTACACAGTGTAGCTCCCTAGGAATAAATTATGAACAGGGTAAGAGTACGATTGTAATATTTTTAACGTAACAATTACTTTAATAAGCGGGACACCGGAGTTTTGCCTTTCTTCCAAAACTATGTTGTCCGAAGAATCCGCCTCGGCAAACCTATAAATCTGGGGTGACGGTAATTTCAAAGGGTGCTTTTTCTCTTCGTTGAGCAGTATACTGTCTAATGTTCTCTCAAGCATGCTGTAATTAAGCAAATAATATTAAATTATGTCTTTTAAGAAGGAAAGGTTAGTCACGGGTAAGTATCGAACGCACAACTTTCAGATTAGTCCACAGGCTATACTGACCCAATGACCAACCTTGTCTTTTTTCATTAATTCTAATTATTACAATACTATACTTCTTACAATAGTGAAGATTATGTTTTATATTTTACTACCTTTTTGTATTAAGCATAATCAAATCAGCCATCCAATTATTTTTCTCTTCAGCAGATTTCGCAACAAGTATTACTGCAGGTGGGACACGTGGTGAGATCACAAAAGCATTTTTTAATTCTACAAAAAAAAAATATTGCAAAAACTTTGCACTGGATGAACAAAAATTAGTTGTACTGATTATTAGAGAAAATTAATGCAAGATTAAATGGTCACAACTATAATTTATTCACTAATTAATAAAGGTAATAATTTTTCTATCTGTTTGGTACTGATCTATGATTATAAAATGTGTTGGGGTCTGCAAGGTAATGAACCTTTGAGTATGGTCAACTCCTTTTTAGGTATTTCATCAACCATTGAAGAATTTTATTCTGCTAAATTACACCTGACATTCAAAACGAATGAGAATAATCTAACTGAAAAATCGCAGGCAATCAAGATATTATAAAATTATTGGATTTATAGCTTTCTGATCCTCCTGGTCTGCCTTTTCTCCCTGGATTTGTCTGTCAGACATTTCAGCATTCTGCTCTCTTTAATGTTCGTTTTTCAGTCTGATCAAAGACGACCAGGGTACAGATTCATCACTTCACAGTACCTTCACAATTTTAGAATTATTAATTTTCTATGAGATTAGATTTCTGAGGGGTGGCAGTGGCCAAAACGGTTTAAGCGTTGACACAGCGCTCATCACTGTAAGGTAAAGGTCCCGGGTTCGAATCCAGCGGTCCTTCATTCGAACCCGACATACTTACAAATGAGCTTTATTGCCAAAAACACCTGCACCCTAAGGGTTCATATTATAACCTAATAGTTGAAATATCTTAGTAAAAATAAATAAATAAATTACATTTCTGCATCAGCATAGAAATTCGATAGTAACGACTACCTTTTATACCTAAAGGCTTAAGATGAAACAAAATTTTTAAATAATCCAGGTTGCACATTTCAACTATGACTAGGCTCAAGTTGACATATTAAAAAACTGCCAAAAAAACTCTTACTATTTATTAAATGAAATCTCACCTTCTGACTCTTCCCAATCGGTGATTTCAACTTTCCTAATAAAAAACCTTTCTTTAAGTCTATATTCAGCAGTCGAACCACCTAATGGTGCAGTGACAGATACAGCTGTCCTCTTTGTATTTGGTTTGCATAATACTAAAACGCCATCAAACAGGAACACTCTCCTCTCAGTCAAACGCCTCCCTTTGGTTGACCATTTACCTAGCATATCCTCTGCAACACACAAAATATTTACGTGAAAATTTGATTTATTATTGTTGACTTAATATTTACCTCTAATTAATTCATTACAATACTGGCCGAGATCTTTGACATCCCATCCGTCTATTGTTTTTTGAAGTTCATTGGTTTTTTCTAAGGCCAATTGTCTTCTAACACGACCGTTTGTTCGGACAGGTGTTTCCCTGAACATTTAAATTTACAAACTGAAAATATTTATTAAAAAAAAAAAAAAATTAATAAGAAAAATCCATTCACCTCTTTAACAAGTTGTTCACTTCTGGTGATGTCAATTCCATTTGTAGAGGTCTCAAAACCCCTTCAACTTGTTTCAGACTTTCCCTATCATCATCTAAAGGTGTTAAACGATGCAGTATCTACATAATACATAGAATTAACCCCGATTCATCATGTACACTCTAATAACAACATACCTTAATATACTCAAAATAAATTAAACAGTGAGAGATGGGTGCAATGACTAGTTTAGGTAGGTAGTACTTGACTGCTTCCCGGAAACCCTGACCGGCTGTCGAGACTTTTGGGTTACTGGCTAAAGTAGCCAAAGCTTCTAACCATTTGGAACTAACGATTTCTTTTGCATATCTACCATAAACATCGAATTCTTCAGCCTAGAAAAATCATATTTTTAATACATATTAACTAAATAATAAAATAATAAATGTAAATCTTACTTCTGCAAGCTCTTCGAAACAACTTCCTAATGCAGGAACTTGGCGTTCTTCACTGATTTCTAACATATCTTCTAGAGATCCCATAAGCGTCACAGATAAATCGTAAATTTCCATTATATTGTTAAACATAGCATCCAGCTCCTATTGATTGCTCAGAATTATTATAAAATGAAATATTACCTCCTATCTTTAAATAATAGTTTTAAAAAACCAAATTTTCAAAGACCATTTTTTTTATTATAGGGTGAGCAAGAAAATTAAGTTGCTATTTTATTTTATTTTTTCACCCTTGGGGTGCAAGAGTAGTCTATTTGTAAATGATACGAAGCAGGGCGGCTGGATTCGAGCCCAGGACCTTGTCAACCGTTGTGGCTACCAACATTCATTGAATTTACCTATATTTATTTTTCCATTGTCATTTCAAAAAATCAAGCAGGGTTCAAGGAGACTATCAATCCTACCAAAAATACTCAATGAACAAACTAGTTTTGACACAGGCAAGTGGGAATTCCACAAGTTAATAAAATTGAAAGTGTTGCCTGAAAACATGCTGAGGGCTCCTTAAAAATCAAAGTGATGTATATTTAAATTTTAAAAGTATTATAAGCAATGAAAAGAGGATTTGCTGGTCTGCTTATCCTCGCTCGGTTGGTTTGTCAGACGTGTTTTCGCATTTTGCCATCGTCGGTGTTGTGTCTAGGGCCCAGGATTTATTTCAATGATTGAAATCGATTTTTTGAAAATACAAAACTTATATAAAAGTTAAATCTCTAGATTGTTTTTATTTATTTCTTGCTCACCCTAATACCAAATTAACGTTTTTCTCAAAAACCGAAGAAAATAAGAAAGATAAAAGACCTTACCTTGTTGTGCCCAGGAGGGATGAGTCGACAAATTTCTTCTCTAAAAACTTTAATTATCATATGTAAATTCCTTAAATGCTGTTTTTCACACTGCAGGAGATCTTTCACAACTTCTTCGTATGTCAAACTGACCCTCGAGCTCCTCCCCGAGCCAATCAAGCCACCTTCAGATTCATTTTCCATGTCCAACAGACCGTCGTCTTGTGAAAACATATCCATAAGGACCTAAAATAGTTTATAACTTAGGTAATAATTGAACTGAGTTTATTCAGAAAACTCTTGGGCTGTTCAGACAGTAAATTCTGTCACAAACTAAAGTAAAATGAACCATACCTTAAAAGTAGGAATCAAAATTTGAATTTTTTTTTTAAAGTTTTTACTTAAAAACTATAAAAAATTTATATTACTAAACAAATCACACTAAAAGCATGAAATTGTTTATATTAAAAAACACAAAATTATGTTTAGAATGTGAAGTGTGTTTAACATTAAAAAAAAAAAGAATCTCTACTCTAAAAAATTAAAGTAGTGGGTTTCTTTTAATCTTAGCTCACACTTTCTATACCATAAACCATAAAAAAGATACTATATATCAATAAACTGATATCATTTACTACATTCACTTCTATTAAAAAAATTGAGTTTTCAGTCTTGAATAAAGGCGGTTCAACATACCTGGACTATAATTTAAGGAATTTAAACAAAACGTAAGTGTAAACATAGAAAAAAAGGTAAATCTATCATTTATTGATTTAAAATGAAATATGTACAACATGCTGTTTTATTTTTATTTATTTTTTAATCAACAGTTTTCTAAGGATAATTTTTCTACAAATTACCATTCCGGATAACGGGAGAAATCTTCAAATAACATGCAAAAACTGGAAAAAAATGCAGAAGGTTCAAAATCCTATCTCTGATTAAAGATGCGTAGCATTTTCTGTTAGTAATTACTATGCTACAATTAAGGGATCACGGTGGTGGCTGAGTTAGGTAAGCTTAATTTAATTTTTACTTTTTTATATGATTAAGCATATTTTTGAATTTACACAACCATTAATGAGCTATGGCAAATATTTTCACTCAAATAAAATTTATAAACATTATATTAAAATAAAAAATTCTCTTAAATTCATTTAATTACAAATATTTTAAAAATTGTAACTTACATGAAAACTTATAGTTCTTAATTATGGGTGTTGACTAGTTTTTAAAATATATTTAAATTACTTAAAAATTTAAGAATAAACAAAATAAAAAATAAAATCAGATACTTATTGGAAATAAATAAAATACAACTGAATCAAAGAGAGTACAGGGTATGACAATATCATAATTATAAAAAAATATGGCTTTTATTGGGTTGTCCGGAAAATAATGCAGGATTTTGGTATTAAACAAAAAAAAAGAAACTAGTTACTTTAAAGCAATGTTCTTTAATCAAAATAATTTCCCNACCAAACAATATCATTTGGAAGAGGATTAATAAGTGTTGACATTCATACAAATGAGTAATCCTGTAAACGTAAACAGAATATTTTATATAGATTTTTTTAATGAAAACTTAAAATCCTGCATTATTTTCCGGACAACCCGATATTATTAATGGATTTATGAGGTTTTTATACTTTATGGTTTTTGTTTAAGTTAACCTTCATCCAATTGAGTGGACAGCACAATTTTTTTTTTTTTCATTTTGACGTGCATTATACCCTAAAGCATGGAGAGAGGCTGAGGAAGTTGCAGGTATCTCAAGTTGGACATTTATCCGTTAAATCTTCCACCTCTGAACCGTACCTTTTACTTTTTCAAAGAAGACAGGTGTTGATTTGATGGATAAACTGCCTTCTTTCAAGAAGAAAAGCGAAAATATTTTATACTTGAATCAAGATTTAATTACAAATTTCTTTGTATAGCTGAGTATTATTTGATAAGTTCTGAATAGTTGAGTATTATTTGGACAAAAAAGGAGAGAAAAAAAAGGCAAAAAAAATAATGGGACTACAAGTTTGGATGCCATATGACAAAAGAATGATTTTTATTTTCTACAAAGAAGAAGGAAGCAGTTGTAGACCTGTCATATGATTGTTGCGGTGACAAAAAAAAAACATTCAAGTCATCGACTACAATTTTACAAAGGTTGTAATTATAAAAACACAAAAATAAAAAAGAAACTTAAGGAATGAAAATGAATAACCCATTTTCAGTCCTACAAGTTTCCTAATTTTTTACGTCTTTACTTTCTTGCTTCGTACTTGTAAGTTTTGGTATTTTATTTTAATTTCCTCTGATTTTTGTAGTTCCCCAATAAACCTATCAGGTAAGTTAATTTATTCTATTACAATAACAAGAAAATGAAGAAAACCCAATGAAGATGGTAAAAAATATAGAAGGTTAAAGTGCCATCCGGGATAGCAGACTGCGTGAGTGGATGAAGGTTGTTAATGTGTTAGAAATAACTGAAATAATACAGTTCAACTTATTGGTTCACTTTTCAATGCATACTTTACTTTAACAAGTTATTAGTTTTATGTTGGTAAAAGTGCCTCTAAAATAAAATCTCCTATAAGGCTTAATAAGACTTAAAAAAATGGTTTATTAGAGATTTTAAAGTTATGCTGTTTTGTCTCACAGTTTATTTTATAACAGGTATAAACTAGTCTTACGGGAACTATAGAAAATGGCCTAATGTAACATGCAATTTCATTAAAATGAATTCTACCTGATTAACTTTCTCTTTTTGGCTGATCCAAGAAAGTTGAAACAACAATTTTTTATTATTACAATGAATTGTTTGCTTTGAAAAATTAAAGTAAAAAAAAGAAAACTAAATCATAATACATTCAATTTTTGAAGAAATTTAATTTCTGACTGGCTCACACACAAATAAATATTCAAGTTGTATAACTTCTTCAATAGATGAGACGAATTTCTTTAAATATTTGAATTTTTAGACCATCCCCAAACATTCTGTCTGCCTACTCCCGCTGATGTCTAATAGACAAAACTAACAGAATGGACTGACCAGAGTGATTAGGTACAATCATCCTATGAGGCATACGCCTCATATTTCAAAACTTAAATTTGTTCTAATAATAAAGGCATTTGCCAATAAAAGTTGCAATGACGAACTTTGGATGAATGTACACAACATAATGACTTGAATCTAACAAAATTATTTTTATTATTTAGTATACTTTATTATTCTACTCCTTGTCAACGTAAACTCAAACTTATAAAAAATAAGTCGTTAATATATTATTTGTAACCTTATGTGCCAATTTTCAGCCCCATGCTTGATTTAAAGCTTTATTTATAATTCTGTATATTTCTTAGACTTTAAATGAAATGTTTCAGGTTAAGACGACCTAAAGCGGGGAACACACCAACACAATGCAACGCATTGTGACTGATGCCACCCGACATCAATCCAATGTCCAATTTTCTGTAAGATTGTATTATCCCCGTGCACATTTGCCTGACGTGACATGCCACTCTACTCTAGGCTAACTCGGTGATGAAACCAATTTCCCACTGTACAGATTTTCATCGAGTAGCGTCGAATATACTCAAAGACAAAAAAAACCCATACCCTCCTATTTTTAAAGAAACGATAAAAAAATGTAAGATCTGACTTTTTTAAAAAGTTTAAAGATTACTCATATTTTTTGTTGTTTATTTTACACTATATGTATTATTTTTGTCATTATATTAATATGTTTAATACACCATACTTATTTTAATGTAAACCAAATTAAACAAGATCAAAAATTCGTTAGTTTTAATCAAAATTATTTAATTATGATGGTTTGACATAAAATTTATCAAAACACTGGAATACCATTTAGTGATAGAATTAATTTTACCATTTATTTATTACTTGATTTTGCTCAATTAAGAGCAAAACTAGGTTTTAAAAAATTGTTAGTTAAATTTTATCCATTTACTAAACGATTTTCAGTATTTTGGTGAATTTTCTTTCATATTTATTTAGAAATCGTGAGATGCGGTCTGGTGTGATGTAGGTTTCAGAAAAACATTTTCTTTATCGTGCCAACATTTCGATCTTTACTGAGATCATCTTCAGGGCCTGGGATTTACAAACATTGTTTACATATAACAATTACATTTTGGATGTGGAAAAGGGAATTTATACAATGCAAAATATATTTTTTATATATTCAATCAAAGTATTTCTATTCACTCAAAGTGTTTGTCTTCTGTGTAATTGTGCCATTCTTGCGTGTCGTGTCGAGAGTGCCAGTGAGATTTTGCTATTTTGTGTTTATACACGTTGGATTTTGAAGGGGTGGGGAAGGAAGTCGGTATAGAAAAGACAATTTTGTATAAGGCGTTGGCTTCTTTGAGGTGAAAAGAGCCGATGAAGGGAAAAAATGTTTCGGCCAGATTATCCTTTCAGGATTATATAGAAACGGATAAATAGGAAAAGGAAAGCTAAATTGTTGGGAATGTGAAAAATATTTGATGTGTGGAATGTAATGTGATGATATAGGTATGTTATCTGTATTAAATTTGAATATCATAATTAATTTTTTTTAAATAAAACTCATGAATTTAAAATCTAATTTAATTTGGTTTATATTAAAAATAAGTATCTTGTAATTAATAGAAAGGTAAAAATAAATATAGGTTGAAATAAACAACAAAATATGTCCGGGGTGCGGTTTTTTGTCTTTTAAGTGTATATATGTTAAATATGGTAAATGGTATATAATTCATGGTATGAACTATATAATATACTATGTAAAATTTGTATTAGTTTTCCTGATGCATTCTTCTATTGCACCATGGAGATAATCAAACTGCTGTTTTGTCATAAAAAAAATATAAAATACTGAATTGATATTTTCAAATATAGAAATCGGCATATGGTATTTGCTAGATACACCTCTAGTGAGGATCACTTCATGAACCTGAGGTTTTTCCGCTTGATGCTGATGCCATTATTTCCATGTCATCATATTCTTCTCAGAGCTAAGCATTTTGCGAATGCTAGTTTGATAAACACTATCGTCTGTCGTGTGGTGTGTTTTATGTGTGCACCCCACCGACATACAATCAGACATCAAGAGTGTTGGGTTGATCCCCGCTTAATAATAGCTGTTTTTTTTTTGTTTTTTTTTTTCTTTTCAATTATACTAAAGTTGTCTTATTAATTAACAATACCTCTTGTCTAAACTACTCTAAAATTATGCTAAATTATTAATATTAAAAACAACAACGAACAATTGAATTTTTTCCCATTAGTGTATTTAAAATTTCCAATTAAATAAATTAACTATTGTATAAAACGATTTAATAGACAAGAAAAAAAAGAAAAAACATTTTTCCCAACATGCTCATTGTTAAAATAAAACATGCACAGAAAAAAATAATAATACACCAATTCTGACCTTGTCAGCACACATGGCCACTCTGATGTCTTGACAGGTAATTTCCACATGACGAATGTTTTTAACATAATTGCCAGCCAACTACAAAACAAATAATGAAGAAATTCCATAATTAAAAAATAAATAAAATAAATATACTTTTAATATATCAGCAGAAATATATTCTAAAACAGCGACGATGTAGAGGGATACTTGTGTGTCAATTTTGTATTGTAGAACTTCCTGTAATAAATTTATATTAATTTAAAAAAATATTTTTTTTGTTTCTCTTTTATTTAAATATTACTTTTTGTAAGAGTTGGTGCAATTTTTCAACAGGCAAAACTAAAACTTGATTTTTCTTGTTTCCTTTTTCTAGTGCATTTTTTGCATCACTCAAAGCCCATCTGTAACGGAAAGTATACAATTAGAATCTATTTTCATCCACAAACAATAAATTTCGTTGGTACGTACTTGTCGATCGGCTTAGGAAATGTTCTCATAACCCTTTCTTCAACATCTGCAACCCGATGTGGCGACGGTCTGGTACATAGCATGCCAAGTAGCCGAAGAATTAAACCTTCTACATAATCCAGTGCATCGTCCTTTGCTCGTAACGATGGATGTACTTGTTCCAACACCTAGAAATGCCCAAAATCAACTTTTTAACTTATAATATGGACAAATACGTGACCAAAACTCTGCATACAGACAAAACAGGTTAAGACGTGCTAAGTGTTATAAATTTATAATGATTGAAGTATATGATCGCAATTACAAAGAACAGAATTGAGAAATGAACTAAAGATGTGAACATAAAAAAATTAATTAAAGTTACAATGAAGTTTAACGTTAGCTACTTGTATAGCCATGATTAAAGTCATAAAAGAAATATATATAATAAAAAATATAAAAAATTGGAAAATGTAAAACAAATCTATAAAGCATCATCAAGCATAACAAATTAAAACTATTATTCATTTGTTTTGATGTTCTAGCTCCATATAGAGAATTGAACAAGGTTAGTTATATACAAAACATTATTTACAGAAAGAAAACAAATAAAAAAACATGTAAATACAACTCATCTAACTAGTTGGCTCATAAACACAGATCTTTATAGGAAAAGAAAGTCTAAATATTTATAAAAATTTTTAAACATTTTCTCGGAACATCGATCGTTAAATGGGTAAAGCTTCTTCAGCAACCATTTAAAAGTTGTTTCCACAAATTTCCATTTTATGTGCACTGTGCTCTTTTAAAGTGTAACTAAATAATTAAGTTAGATTTTGTAAAGCCTCTTACAATAATTACGTACTCAGTAGGTCTCAATGCCCAAATTTAATTATTGTACCTTAATAAATTGATTCTAATTGTATTTATCAAATTGGTTTCCAAGCAATAATGTTATCTCTTACGTATGTATATAAAAGTGTGTTTGCAAACTGGCGATAAATATTGCATAGTCTTTTATTTTAAAAAACAAATTTGACAAGGAGATTCCCGCTCTACTCTTAAATATTTATAAAACAGTAATTAGAAAACTAGAATGATTTCAAACTGAATCTTTTTTAATATTATTTTATTAATGTGTGGTGACTAGTGACCGTTAGTCGATGATTATTCAAAAATCGTCAGATGCGGTCTGGTGTGATGTAGGTTTCAGAAAAACATTTTCTTTATCGTACCAACATTTCGATCTTTATTGAGATCATCTTCAGGGCTCAAAGTGTTTGTTTTCTACAAAATTGTGTCATTCTTGCGTGTCATGTTGAGAGGGTGAGAGTGAGAGATGAGGGCACTCAACACAATATAATCTTAACGCATTTGTTCATTGGCATAATTGCAACTTATTTAGAGTGAAAAACAAAACGTGAAAAGTTGTTTTTCAAAAATGAGAACTGAGGATAAAATTAAACCGGTTCATTCTATTGACGGCAAGCAGGTGGAGGAAGTTTTTAAGATACTAGATTTTGGGGTAATCTTTTAACAATCAATGCAACTTCTTACACCATGTTGGGTGTTTTGCCCCTTTTTGCTATTTTCCGCTGTTATCATTATTTTATTAATATTATTCATCCTATTTGTTTGCACTAGGCTGAATAAACAGTTTATAAGAAAAGAAACAAATAACAAATGTTAAAAGTCCTGAAATTAGCAAATATGAAAAAGCCAAAACTGGGTATTTTGCTCCTTTTTGCCATTTTCCACAGTTATCGATATTTTATTCATATTACACATTCTGTTCATCTGGACTAAGCAGAATAAACAGTTAAAATAAAACAAAAAAAGTCCTGAAATTAGTTGAAACAAATTAAGCTAATTTTGGGTTGATAGTGAAGAAGAAGAGAGGATTTTTGTTGAAAGCTCATCACCTGTTGCTGCACTTGTTGAGATGCGGAAACTTCTGTCTGGATATAGTTAATACATTTTATTTTTATTTAAGAAATCGTAAACTTTTCAAAAAGCATGATTAATTCTCAATGTAAAAAGAAAATTTTGCCAGTCGGGATCAACCTTACATTACTTTATAGTTTCTTATAGAAATCAAAAATTTTTGTGTTGACAGTGAAAAAGAAAAGAGGATTTCTGTTGTTGCATTAGGTGATGTGTGGTAACTTCTGACTATATANCATGATTAATTTTAAACGTAAAACGATAATTTTGATAGTCGAGAAGATTACGGAGCTTAGACGAAAACGTAAACAGAAATACAACAATAACAAAGGGCCTGCGATTGTTGACCCGACGGATCGGGCATTGACGGCGTCTAGAAACCATCCGTAAACGGACACATTGATAAGAGTAGACGATGGCTCCAACGCCGAATACTCGGTGTGTAAAGTTCGATTATGGTAATGATTTATTTTCCAATTGTCAATCGACGATGGGAGAAAAAAAATACGCCGAATCTATCTCAAAACAGAGCCCAAGGTTAAAAAGAGAGAAGGAACAGCTGTAAAGTATAATGCAGGAGTGAGTATCGGCCTTTACCTTGCGCAAAGAGTTGACGAAAACTCCCTTCCATTTAGTTGCGTTTTCTTCTTTTTCGAAGTCATAATTGCACGAGTCGGAGGCAAGAGGGATGGAAAACATATCTCTCATTTATCGGATATTTAGAAAAATCTCTTACGGCCGATAAAACATCCATTTAGCAGCCATGTTTGATGACGGAAAATATGACATTGACAGAAGAGAATAATTGTAATAAAAGTCTTTCGGACCGAACTAAATCCACCGACGGCACTCCGATTGCGTTCATAACGTCGTCCTTACCCAAAGGCAATCCTATTAACGGGATATTCGATAAACGGCTCACAATGTTTATAAACACGGAGTCGAGTAGGACCGGATAATATGGACCCGACTTGTAGTACAATATCGCTCTCCGCGCATGCGTTTTTTATTGTTATCTCCTTGATCGATAGTCAGATACGTTTTTGGATACCTAAGCGGTTGGCAAGCCTGGACGATCCAAAAGGCGTTCGTGCCGCCGGCCGACGACCCATCCACAAACCCGCCCAATAGGTTTATCAACATTATCATTCAACTTCACATTTGGTGCTTCTCGAACATTGACAAAAGCACATCCTCTTCACATTTTTTTAATTTAAGAAGGAGATCTATCACTTTATGCCTTCTCAACTCGATGTTTTTATATGCCTCGCGCAGATTGTTGCACAAATGATCAATTTAAAAAAAATTAAATATCTATGTATCCTATATAAGGGCGTACAACCCTTTGTGGCTCCCAAATCCCCTGACCTCCTCAATAAGTTTATCCCAGAAATTCTTGCCGATTGCAAATTTCTTGAATATTCACATTGTCACGTACACCAAGGCTTCTAAGCTTAAGCTTCTGACCTCTCTGTTTTTGCCAAATTGTTTATTATCTTTACTGGCACTTTCCCCTCCTCCATACTCACACGACCAGCCCAGCTTAATCTTGATAACTTTATTGCATCTTTATTACATTTACGACGTTTGTTTCTTTGTACAGATCTAATTCTTGTAATTCTTCAAGAATTTGCTTACAGAGGTTAAAATTATTTTTCATGTGTCTTGATGATGATACAAGTTAGAATCATACATCAGTGCTGAGTGGATGATGGTTTTACTAGATTTTTTTTTTTTTTTTTTTTGCTGCAGATAAGGCAGCTTTTATATATTTTGAAAGGCCAAAGAGAATTGGACTTGTCCCGAAGGAGTGGATATTACTCTAGTTTTTTCAAGGTTGAATATCATAGATGTGGATTTAGATGTGAAAAAAATGAAGATTAGCAATAATTTTAACACAATGAATTGAAAAGGAAATAACATTTTTGCATAAACGCAAACAAATTATGAGTAAAATGGTATTTCTTTTATGGGTTGATAAAATCATGTTTGAGTGAAAAACCCAAAAACAAAGTGAGGCTTTTTTTAATACAAAATAAAGAAAGGATCTCGTCTATTTTTAAAAAAATCAATTGCAAATTAATAATTGATAATTAATAGGTTTAGTGAAACAAATTGATTTGAAAAATTATGAATGAAATGTCTTTTTTTTGAAAAATCTCCTTTACACTTTTTAGAGACAGCAAATAATTTTAAAAAATCTTTAGTGATGAACGCTGACAGATGAAGAAGATCAGCACAAAGATCATACCATCCAAAGGCAGTATTTTTTTCACAGGTTGCACAAACCCACAGGCCCTTCTAGTCGAAGTCTCTTTTTGTGGCCCTCATGAACATCACAATTATAAACACTATAGTTCCTACTACAAGCTATGATTCTTCTGCTGATCCCATGGGAGATGTTATTAAAGGAGATGTTATATTAGGAGTAGAAATGGTTAAAGACGTTGACTCTCTAAAAGATGTTAAACCTCCTTCCAGTCTTCCTCAGTGGGCCATAACCACATACAACATATAATATTTGGTTTGTCATTAATGGTAAGACCATGGTTAAGGCTGCTTCCTGCAAAGCAATGAATGCACTCTTTAGTTCTGAGAGTGTCCGTGCTATGATGTCCAGGCCAACTGCTGTATGGATTTGGTCATTATGGTTCCTAAGGTCTGGATGCCAGAATCACTGATTACTTTTTCCAAGGCGTGTTAAACACGAGGCAGGCTAGATACTAGTCAATTGCCTAGTCCTTTATCTGTCCTTAAATCAGTGGATGCATCGGCCTGGATCCGCACTTCCCATGTTTCACTTTCATTGTCATTTGCACCAATTTGGGGCAAATAGTGGAGGAGTGAAACAAATTTGCTCTTTGCATGTGGAGCACCCCCAGAACAGCCCAGGCATCTCTTAATTAATTAATTAATTGGTAAATAAATAAGAGAGATATACAAATATTAATACAGTGTTCCGGCAGATGGAGTACCCAGTTGTATTGTTTATTTTTTGAGTACATTTTTGTTTACACTATTATAACAGTGCTTATAAGTTTAATAACTTTATTAATTATATCATTAAAAATTAATATAAATAATTAATAAATAAGTTAATAATTATAATGGTATTACATAATTAATCGGAAAATAAATAATTTATGTAAATACTAATACAAATATTTAATTAATTATTGGTTAGGCCGTCAGACTCTCGGCTAGTTGGTCTCTTGGTTGTGGGTTCAATTCCCACTGTGCCTCTGGATTTTGTTTGACCCTTAAATGAATTTTAAACCTTTATTTAATCAATTGTTTTGTTCTTTATTTAGGAACATGTTTTTTATGTGTAACCCTTGGGTAAAATTTATTTGGAGTTGTTTGGTCTTTTGTATTTTTAAAAGTCATTTTTTTACATTCATAGTATTTTGTTTTTTATCCATGGTAAATTTTAACTTTTGTCCATGCATCATAATCGAATTTGTCCCAATCTACAAAAGGCAATGGAGTTGGCTTTTTATTTTATATTAATTTTTTTTAATTTATTTATTTTGGAGTACCATAACCATTTACTATAGATCTTTTATTTATTTATTTTATATATTTTATTTTAGTTGTTTTTATTTTTTTTCACTCTCATATTCATATATATTCACATACATTTATACACATACATACCTAGACATATACACATATTCATACATACATATACACAAATACTCATATATATTTGGACATACATGCACACATATGCAGACACATACCTACATGTACACATACATATATGTATACTCACATACTCATATATGTACATACATACACAATCCTTACTTTTTTCTGTAAAATCCAATAATTTAAATTAAATTAAAATTTTAATAAATGTGCTATATAAAACCCTAAATATGGGGATTATCAGGTCACTATTACAATTCATGTTGAGACACATGTTTGTACTCCTTCAATCTAATGATGAGAATTTATTGCTTGAAATCCGGATTGTTGTAAACAACAAATTCTGTAAGTAGAACCATAATTTTTTAAATTACAATTCTGCCCTTCAGAGATTTTCATATATTCAGATATATACCTACATATGCACATTCATATACATACATATACAATCATATACATATACACATATACTCATATATATCCGTATACACATATTCATACTTTTTTCTTTAAAATCGAATATCTGGTTTTTTAATAAATTTGTCATATAAAACCCTAATTATTAGAATTGTCGGGTCACTCTTGCAATTCATGTCGGGAGACGTGTTTGTACTCCTTCAATCTGATGATGAGCATTTAATGCTTGAAATCCGGATCGTTGCAAACAACAAATTCTGTGAGTAGAGCCATAATTTTTTAATTTGTTGAAGTGAGGAGCGGCCAAGAATGAGGTGGTTTAGAAAAACACCATTTTCATTTTTTGCCTATGTTTTAACCTTTATTCGGCTCATCTTCAGGGCAAAAATGTGGTGCTATTCTTGTGGTGTCAAATTGGTTTTGTGTGAAAGTGTTGTGCAAGAAGAAAGCACCAAACTTTATGCCCTGAAGATGCCCCGAATAAAGGTCGAAACGCATGGTAAAAAGGGAAAATGGTGTTTTTCTAAACTACCTCATTCTTGACCGCTCCTCACGACTTCAACAAATTATGAAACAACAGGTCATTAAGAAACTCACATAAATTTTTAAATTACAATTCTGTTCTTGTTTGGGGGGTAAAATTTGAAATGTGTTAACGAGTGTGCGGGAAATGTCTGGAGGGGATGAGAAGGGTGTGCGGTATAGAGAGTGGACACTCCTTGTTACCCCTAGATGAGAATATCCGACTTCAGTCTCTGCCCTATAACCGCCAGAAAGCGACACGACTCCCGTTCCCGTACAGTTACCTTTCACTTGACTCAATTTTAATTTTTCCCCGACAATCATTTTAAATGTATATCATATTAAGAACGAATTTCTTGGTAAGTCAAGTCTAAAATATAGGCATGTGTGGCTTGATTGTTTTGTGTACCGAAAATCCGTAGATGGAGTCGTGCCGAGTCCGGGCACGTTTCCCAGCTCGAGGGTTTTCCTCGTCGTAGAGGCGATTTCCCGTAGATTTACGTTCGTCTTAGAGGCCGGGCTCAGAGGCCGTCCGTCTTAGGCGACCCGTCCGACGACGTCGAGATCGCCGGTCCACGGTCCATTTATCCTCATGTAAAAATTGATCCGTTTATCAAGAGAGGGGGGCAAAGGGAAACCGAGATCCGTGAATACGATCGGATGAGGATTTTGCCGTAATTGGAAACGAGTGAGGACCGGATAAGAGGCTCTTATAACGGACACGATTCCGCCGGTTTCGTTCAAATTATAGATTTCTATTCTCCTGGAAACGCGCTCCCTCTCACGAGCTTAGCCTCTTTTTTTGGCAGTCGCCGAAAGATGGCTACCGGTCCGCCACCACTCAGACTTCTCTATTCTTCTTCGAACATTGATTTTCCTTTGCCCATCCGTAAATTTTCGGTTGTGTTTTCCGTTTTATAATTGTCAGGCCAGTTTACGCTTGTCCACGGCAAATATCCGACTTCCATATTGTAAGTAATCGAAACACAAATTTCAACCCTATTCTTGTATCGGTTTAAATTTTCTATTTAGACCGGTTTTTTTTTCTCTTTTTATTTTAACTTCTGCCCATTGGGAAATGTACATTTCGGAACGATTTCAGTCCGTTTTGAACCGTTGTTCTATTTGACGGCACTAGAGCCTCGTATACGACGATTTTCACTCATTTACTTGAGTTAGAGCAGACTTCCACACCCTCGACACCCCACCTTTAACTATATTTTGTTTACTGAATTTGCTGCCTTTTTTTCCCATTTAACTCAAATATTTAAGAATTCGCTTTATTTTTAAATAGTGAACAAGCTGTTCCGGTTTTGGCGTTATTTCAGTGATTTTTTTCTTCTTTCGAGCTGCAGATATTTTGTTATTTATTTTTATAATTTTGTAGTATTTTTGTTTAAATAATAAAAATCTAGACGCAATTTGGAATGTTTTTTTTAAAAATATAATTTACCTGCATGGCATATTTTTATTTTTATTATATTGTTTAAAAAATACACGTAGACTTGATATAACCATTTTTCCCTAGTTGATTTTTAAAAACTGTTAAAAATAGAAAAAATAAAAATTTCCACACTTGACAAATACAGTGAAATTCCTGATAAAATTAAAATCAGAGTCTAGATTTTAAGTTTTTATCGTTCTATGTAGTTTAGTTTTTAAGTTATTTCTATTTGATTTTGTTATTTATCAAAATATAAACTTTGATTTCTGAAGTTTCGTTTTGTTTTGTTTTTTCACTTCCCATTCTGTATTTACATTAATTTTTCCCCTAAATTTTATAATAAAACGCTGTCTTTTTTTTTTTTAATTGTTTTATTTGTATTTTTGTTATCCAAATATATCCAAGACTTAGTATTTAAAAGAGTGTGTGTGTTTTCTTTTGTTTGAATTGTAGTTGATATTTCGCCCAGCTTATCTTTCTAATAGTTGAGCAGTGTTAATTATATTTTTAACATACCATGAATTTTGTCTTATATCATTTTATACAATATCTTTGAAAAATGCAATAACCCTGACGCAGATACAATAGTACGCTTCCGGAAGAAAAAAATTCATTTTTCGATTTTGCATACAATAGTGAGTTGTATGCTTTAATTATGAGAAATTATTTCTTACCAAACTCCCTTTACAATAGTTATATTCGTTTTTTTTTCATATATTTATTTCTAGCTTACGATAACTTTACGGTCTCATAACAACTGAACGTTTTTCAAAAGAAACTGATTTTTTTATTTTAAACTAAAAAAAGTTCATGCAACTGCAAAATGTGCACTTGATAAATCGTTATTTTACAAAACCCTTAGTAATAACAAAATGAAAAAAATCCTTATTTTTCTATCCATGTTATACATAAGAATACGAAATATATTGATACATTTATCGAACAATGGATAATTGCCTATGATTTTTGTTTTGGTTATTTTCAATTTCACACAATATTGCCCATGATTTTTACAATTAACAAATTATAAACAAAGTATACGTCGTTCATACCGGTTAGCCGGTAAATTTATGAACGAAAATTTAGTAATAAAGTTGAATTTTGTTATATTGACGATAAAAGTAATTAAACTGAACTGCAAATTGTCGACAGTACAATGCTTTGTATTTTATAAAAAAGTTTATTTCTTTCTAATCTTCTTTTATATCAATATTAAGCGAATGGTTTTTTGATTGAGATTTTTAGAACGCTTTAAACTTGAAAATATTTTATATTTTGTCAAATGTGATGATCCATAGTTAGGATTAATTTATTTTAAACCAGACTATAATTGATATTTTAAACCTTACGTTTTAAACGTAATCATGAATAGCATATGCGTTAACGTATTGTAAAAGTGTGTTTGATTGATATATAAGGCTTTAAAGTAAGTAAATTGTGATTGTGATAAAGAAGCTTTAAAGTGTTTTAAAAGTGTCTATCTTTAAGATGGTATAAACTGAATAAAATTCAATATTTTAGTATTAAACTATTTCAAGAATGATTATTATTGATCTATTTAAAATTGTAATGTTTTTATGAAATTGATTTAAACGAGATAACTTGATATTTTTGGCTTTAAAACGTATAAAAATACTGGACAATTATTGTAATTTGAAGCTTGAAAGTGTTAATTATGATTGATATTTGAACTTGACTGTGACTAACTTTAAAGTGTTTTAAACCCGATATTTAATGACAATTAAAATTTAAAGAAGGTAGGTGGACATCTAGACTTTTATTAATAAATGTGTACCTAACTAACAAACAGATAATTGATAAAAACATAAGCATAGAAAATCGGTCTACCGAAGTTTAAATTATTTTAAATTTAATTTCAAGCTTTAAGACTGTATAAATTCAACAAAATTGGACATTTTTAGCTTTAAACTATTTTAAATGTAATTATTATTAATACAGTTATTGTAAAGTTGTAAACGTGATTAAATGACAGTTCAGCCTTAAAGTATGCATTTTATAAGCTTTTACGAAAGTGATTTAAACGGGATAATTATTGATATTTTTGGCTTTAAAATATTTTAAACTAGACAACAGTTGCAATTTAAAGCATGAAAGTGTTCATTTTAACATTCGAATCTGAATGTGACAAGCTTTAAATTATTGTGAATGTGACAAATTTTAAAGAGTTTCAAACTATTTGCACCTTAAAGTTTAAACTAGTTTAAATTTGATTTGATTTATATTTCACGTTTTAAGACGGTATAAATTCAAGAAAATTGGACATTTTTATCTTTAAACTATTCTAAATGTAATTAGTATTGATACATTTAAAATTGGAAAGTTTTAAACGTGATTACATTACAGTTAAAGCCTTAAAGTATGCACTTTATATATAAGTTTTTACGAAAGTGATTTAATCGGGATAACTATTGATATTGTTTGCTTTAAAATATTTTAAACTTGACAATAGTTGCAATTTAAAGCATGAAAGTGTTCATGTTAACATTCGATTCTGAATGTGACAAGCTTTAAACTTTTTGTATTGTGACAAACTTAATGTTTTAAACCCGATAATTATTGACAATTATTTTAAAGGTTTTAAGCTATTGACAGCTTAAAGTTTAAAGTACTTGAAATTTGATTACGATCTATATATGTCGCTTTAAGATGGTATAAACTCAACAAAATTGGACATTTTTATCTTTAAACTATTTTAAATGAAATTATTGTTGATATATTTAGAGTTTACATGTTTTTATGAAAGTGATTTGTACGTGATAGCTATTGATATTTTACGCTTTAAAATATTTTCAACTAGACAACAGTTGCAATTTAAAGCAAGAAAGTGTTAATTTTAACATTTGAATATGAAAGCTTTAAATTATTGGAAATGTGACCAATTTTAAAGTCTTTTAAACTACTGACAGTTGAAAGTATATTAAATTTTATTACGATTTATATTTAAACTTTAAGACGGTATAAACTCAACAAAATTGGACGTTTTTAGCTTTAAACTATTTTAAATGTAATTATTATTGATACATTTAAAATTGGCATGTTTTTATGAAAGTGAATTGTATGTGATAGCTATTGTTATTTTACGCTTTAAAATATTTTAAGGTAGACAACAATTTGCAATTTGAAGCTTGAAAGAGTTAATAATAATTGATTTATGAAGCTGAATGTAAGAAACTTTAAAGTTTTTGTAATGTGACAAACTTAAAGTGTTTTAAATGTTTTGATGGATATCTAAAGCTTTAAAGTGATTCAGATTTCCAAACAATGCATATTTTTAGTTTTAATGTTATTGAGATTTGAAGCTTTAAAATGAAATTTTATCTTGATTACGATTGACAGATAAGTTTTGAAGATTTGTAAACTTCCTAACATATTTTAGCTTTAGTTCTTTAAACTTCATATAATTAGTGGTAGATTAGGTGTGGCAATGATCGATCATTAGGATTAAAAATCTTTGAGGTACATTCAGCAAAAAATACTTCGTAATATATTTAAAACAAAATAAATTTACATTTTATATAGTAGAAATAGATCAATTTTGCGAAGTTTGTTCCGAAAAGTCCATAATTCACATTATTGTCCATTTTACCATAATTTATATTATGGTCAGGGCTGACAATAAAAAACCCACATACTTGGTCGTATTATTGTACGGTTTGTTGGTATTATTAATAACAATTCTCTTTATGAGAATTAAGACTTTTATTCTTTATTACTAAAAGTGTCATCAACATTAGAAGGTTGATTGACAAAAATTCATTACATTAAAAACACTATTCCTAATACATTTCAAAGCATCTTATTTTTTAAGATGGAGTTATTAAAACATAAGTGAATTCGAGAACGCACCTGGGTTAAAAACTTTCAAAAATATTATTTTAAACGTTTAAAAGTCTAGTCCAACTATTGTTTACACTTTCAAATAATTTTGCTTGAAAATATTGTTAAGAATCACAGAGTTCTAAGCTAAGAAACATATGTTTTACGGGCTTTTTTTACCTTTGGAAAACCTTGATTTAAAAAAAAAGTTATGTTTATTATTTATGTTAAAAATTTATTTATTTTCCTTGTAGTATGTAGTTATAGTTATTCAGAAGTTAAATATTTTTTTTTTATTTCAAGATATCCTAGAGAAAAATTTAAGTAAGTACAATATTACAAACATCATTTCAATTCTCTGTAGAACAGGTAGGCATTTGGGTATGAAATTTTCGATTTGTCAATTTTTTTTTTAAATATGGTTTATTTTTATATCTTCAAATTTTTCGCCACGCGGATGTTAAAAATTCGATATTTATACCGAGACAAATTGTAATCAAAATGTGGGTTTTTAAACAAAATTAAAAGACCTACTTTGAATTGAATAATGATCTAATTGACTAACCTTTCTATCGTAAAATTTATTAATTTTTTCGATCAATTGATCCCTTATTTGTCGGTTTTCTCCGGTGTACAGGTATTTTGTAAAATGTCATAGCGTCCTGGAATGGTTTAGTTACTCCTATTGTT